CGCACGACTGCTGAAGCTGTAGATTAGCACATTTTATTTAATATTTCAGATAATGGAAGTTATGTGACCAACAGCAAACCTGAAACTGGCAGAGGACCCCAGCTGGGTGCTGAGGGAGACCCACTGTGCAGTGGGTTTAGACGGGATGTTCCCCAGTCGAGTTTGCATCTGTCCTGCCCTGCCCCGCAAGGGAGACTCCCAGGTTCATAGCCCAGCAGCACGGGGGCAGCAGGGGCTGAACTGAACCTCCTGGGAGGGGCAGGAAAAGGTCCCAATAATCCCCCCGACCTCCCCACACACTGTGGTCCAGGTGCCCGCAGGACTCTGATTGGGGCTCCATGTCTCCCCCACTTCTCTGTGACCCTGTGGAGGAGGTTGTCAGAATCTAAATGGAGTCACATATGGGAAAAAAACCAGAAAACCTATAGAATGCAGCCTGGAAAGACTGTGAAGTGAGGAGTTCATGCATAAATGCCACAGAACAAGAACTATCACTCTTCTTCACCAACTGGCACTTTGCACATGAGTGTGATCGAGGTCTGGGCACCCAGCTGCGGATGAGGACAATTGTTCCAGCCCTCCGACCACCCTCACCTTGCTGATTTGCCAGACCGGCACGATGGCATTCAGGGCAAGTTGCTGAAGTCATTTTGTCTCCTGCATTTTCACATTCCTGCAGACAACGATGAACAGGCAATATGTGCTGAGGGTTTCTGAACGTCGACAGACCATTGCTCCACCCAGCATCTCGTGGTTCTGCTTTATACATTTCTGTTGACCCACCACTGTCCTCTTCAGCCACCTCTTTCCTTAGTAACCATGTAAATTCGCCCACCTTGCTGGGATGAGTCCCTTCCTTCTCCCCTGCATCTCTTCCATTCTCCTTTGTATCCACCTCCCGTCCTTAGTATCTCTGAGGCCCAAAGGGAACTGTGAGGGTAAGAGAAACCTATGCAGCTTCTAAGGTGGTTCCCGACCTTGCACAGTAGGGGCAACTGGAATGCAGAACCAAAAGGGCTTCCCTGTGTCCCAGCCGTCTCCTGTGGCCTCGGCAAGGTGCGTAACCCATGATCACGACGCCAACTCCATAAAGCCACGTCAGCAGGACTTGGGTGTGTGGAATCAGTTCTCCATCTGGGGAGTCTGCTTTGCTCTTCAAAGGAAGTAAGTTACCTTACAAGGTCAACAGACTGTTACCTCCTGTAGCAGATCAGTTATCCCAGCAGGAACAATGTGCCGTGTGTCCGGATAACCTGCACCCACCCGTGAATGCCCTATTGTGAGATGTCCGTCCACAGTGCACACGATGCCTCCTCCGTCATGTGGGCACAAAGCCCAGGAGACTCTGCCATGCTCATCACCCCCGCAGTCCCTTAGTGACTATTGCTCAGGAACCTGGTGAGGTCAATTAATGGCATGAATCACTTCACAAAATGATGTGGCTCTTCCATGCACTCCCTGGATTAAGAACTTTAATGTTTCCCTCCCCTGCCCTGCACATGGACAACCTTCTTTGACACCGTGGGCCGGAGCAGTTTTCTCCAGGACAATTGTTCATTTTGATGGTGGATCTGAGCCTTGTAGCCTTGGCTCAGTGTGCACAGGGCCAGGATGGACAGCAGCTATTTTGCTTTCATTTCAGTTATTATTAGTACATACACAGATTGTATATTTAGATTATTTTCGATTATCTCTACATTGTCTTCGTATTTGGGAAATAAACTCCTACAGTGTTGATCTAATATTCACACATCCATTGATAGCTTTTACCTCCAAGACTTATTGGAGCTCACGTGCTGCCTCACACCAGGTGACTCTGTGAGCATCCAGGCATCAGAGTTTCAATCCCCCCTGCCTCCCCTCTGCAAGCTTGTCGTCCTTCGCTTTGCTAAGCAATGCTTTAGCTGTGTGTCAACCAGGCAGGATTCTTCTGGCAAATCCACTCTGGTGCAGTTATATTGAGTCTTCTAAGACCACCCTCATCCTCTATAACCAATATAAATGCGGGTCTTAGAGTAACATATTATACTCTTGGTCAGTTTATTACACAAAATGATATGAATTAAAATCAGCAAAGGCACGGGGTTAACTCCCTGAGAAAACAGGTGCCAGGGCCCAGGTGTGCTCTCCCAGCTTAGTGTCCTGTCCACCTTCAATTCTCCCAGCAGTGATGTATAATGACAGGTGTGAGGGGTTGTCCTCAGAGAAGCTCACCTGGGCCTTGGTGGCCAGCGCTGCTCACTGAGGTCAGTCCCGGGTGTCACAGCAACTGCACAACTGACCTCGACTGCTCAGACAGCAGCCCCTGGGGCATGAACTGGCATTCACCATGAACACTGTGTGATCAAGTACTACAGTGTATTCACCCCCACACACAGAAATATAAAAACAAGATAAATGATGATAAAAATACATAGTAATATTAGCGGGTATGGGAGGAAACCTTAGGAGGCGATGGATATATTTACGTCCTGTTGTTGGTTAGGTGTACACATGCACCCAAACTCATTCAGTTCCAGAAGTTAAATATTGTAGAGTATTTCCATGTAAATCACACCTTAATAATGTTGGTGTAAAAATGCTATTACCAGGAGCAGTAAGCCAAGGGATCAGAACTCATCTCTCAGGAGTGGACTATGGGTGAGTTCCTAGAATGGACTCTTTCAGCGATGCACGTGCTTTGGACGACCCAGGCCTGATGAGTTAACCCTTTCCTGTGCATGAGTTCAAGTAAGATGCCGAAGGACTGTTAGAATGAAAGTCATGACTTGGAATCAAAGAGAGAGTGAAGAGGGATTTAAGGTCAGAACCCATGTGGGCGCCACATGGATTGGAAGTGATGCTGGGGCCTGTGCAGGGACTAGAGGCAAGCCCAAGGGCAGGAGGTCACCAGGGTAGGGGTGCTCTCCAGAAGCCCAAGCAGCAGCTGCCTCATTGCAGGGCGTGGGGCAGTGGCCATGAAGGGTCCATGTGGGGTGCAGTGGAATAGGGGAGTTATAAGGTGGCAGACTCAGGACAGAGGGGAAGAAACAAACTCATTCTCCAAGAGAGCATCTGCAGAACCCAGGTTTGACAAGTCTCCTTCCGGGGCCTCCATCTCTGCATCAAAGAGAAACTAAGTGATTCCCCAGCCTGATGGACATGACTGAATCTGAGAGTGATGAAGGAGAAGAGGGGTGTTCCTGGGAGACAAAGCCCCCTCACCTCACACCTCCCTGCCTGTGCTCCACCCACGGCTGAGAGTCTCATCCCAGTCATGCAGTGGGAGCCACATCAGCTCCCTGGTCCACTGCGGAGACGCACTTGCAAGTTTCCCTGAGTCTGGGAAGAACATGGGGTTAAGAGCAACAGCTCAGTCTAGATCTCATTAGTGTGTTCATGAGCCTTTAAGTCCAAGGAGAGAGATAAATGACATCAGAACTAAAACACTAGAAATATCAACAAATCACTCATTTTTCTTCCTTTTGAAACATGAAAAATGACAAACACTGAGCTCAACTAGCTAGGAGAATAGGAGAAATAACTCAAATCAACATCAGAAAGTAAAGAGAAAACATTACCACTGACACCACCAGAATACAAAAGAAACGAGAGGTGATGGCTCTGACATTGGTCAAGGTCGTCTCAGTGTTCCCAGGTCACAGGTAGAATCCTCGTCTCAGCACCAGGCTGTGCACTGAGAAGGGAAGTTCGTGGTCACGGGGTTCTGGGCAACAATTGGAAATTTCCAGACACTCACATTTTGGTAAGAAGGAAAAATCCAGTTTTGTTCAGTCTCTGAGTTTCCTATAATAATTCAGTAGATTCTGAGGCTAGATTTGTGCAAATATATGGCAACAGTTTACACTCCCCAAACATGCGACCATATAAGAAAGAAAAAGGAATGTCAGGGGAAGAAGGATTGAATTATCGCACGATCATGTATCAGGGAAATATTCAGAATAAAATCCAATTCTCCTAATTCTGAACCCACAATGAGATCTGAGCCACGTCCACTGCAGTCGGGCTGCTGAGCTCCCTGCAGGTGGGAAGTGTCTGACTACATAAAGCTGAGCTGGGGCCTCTGCAGAGCCTGCGGCCTGCAGGGCCGGCTCCTCCTCAGACTGGGCTGAGAGATCTCTGTTGTCTCTCTGGGTGAGGGGAGGGCTTGTCTCTGGAAATTTCCAAACTACTCGAGATCTCTGCACATGGACAGAGACCATTGGATGTGAGAACCAGTCGGTCACACTACAGATAACAATTCCTCGTGTGAATGAAACACTGAGCCAGGAGACATTTAAGGAAAAATAGACAAATATGGGAATTATAATTCTTTGCAGACTACAAGCTTTTATACATCATCTGACAGGCTCATGCAAAACCGTATTATCTTTTATGAAAATCTAAGACCAGTGTGTGCACCCCGAGAATTTACCTTTCTGCCTCCACCCACGGGTGGTCCAGGACCAGGCACCTGCTGCCACTCTCCGCCATCCACCCCCTGGTTTGTGCTAAAGACCCACGTCCTGAGGGGGCCACTTCCAGGTGATGACGTGTCCTGGCAGGCCCCTAAGTGACAGTCATGGCTGGGAGACGTGGTGGTCCTATTAAGGGCAACTTAGGCTCAGAGGGGCACAAATGGTTTGCTACGCTTTGCTTGGACTGCAGTGTAGTTAGGAAGTTCCACTGACCTTCCCCTTTCTCTGTCCCTGGATGTCACACTTGCATCCTGGGCAGACGGTTTCCACAGCTGCACCCCGACTCCTGTGCATTTTTCTGCCTCCATGAATGGTAAATATTTTGGCGGCATATGAGAATGATTTCTCCTAATATAAGAAACTGTTCAAGTTTACAGACATCATTGGAAAGCACAGAGTTTTAGATATAGACAGGCTCCCAGGGGAATCTGTAAGATGCACAGGGAGACTTAGACCTTCGGTGGAAAGCTGATCTTAACCTCCACCTGCACCTGCCCTGGGCTGACTCTGTTTCTTGTGTCCTGTCTGCCCCCTGGTGGCCCCGCGCGCCCCCGTAGGAGGTTTGTGTCTGGGCTCACACTGAGGTCCCCTCACTGTGTCTCTCGCACAGTAGTACACGGCCGTGTCCTCGGCTCTCAGACTGTTCATTTGCAGAGACAGCGTGTTCTTGCTCTTGTCTGTAGAGGTGGTGAACCGGCCCTTCACGGCGTCTGCGTAGTTTGTGCTACCACCATCACTGTAAATGTACGAGACCCACTCCAGCCCCTTCCCTGGAGCCTGGCGGACCCAGTTCATCCCGTAGCTGCTCACAGTGAATCCAGACACTGCACAGGAGAGTGTCAGGGACCCCCCAGGCTGGACCAGGCCTCCCCCAGACTCCACCAGCTGCACCTCACACTGGACACCTGCAAACACAGACACATCCTGGTCAAAAACTGCCACACACACCCCTGTTTCTCTCACTCACATCCACTCACACGCCCAATGTCTCTAGTTCTCCATGAATTACCTTGTAACAGAGCAACAAGGAAAAGCCAGCTGAGCCCAGTCTCCATGGTGAGTCTCTGTGTTCAGTCCTGATCACTGAGTGGGGACACCTGGGAATGCCGGGGCTGGGGCTCCTCTCCCAGAGCTGCAGGGTGAGGGCTGGGCTGGTTTTCATCAGCAGAGGGAGGGCCCTATTTGCATGTTCCCTGCTATATAGCAAGCTCTGGGGTGGGGACACCTGAGGGAGGGCAGGGAGTGAAGGGACTGTGAAATACAATTAATTCCCATTAGCTTGTCTAATTTTCATTGGAACATGAGCCTTCAACTGTAGATGTCCACATTTTTTCCATCTACACGTGGAAAAGCAAACCCACCAGTGTGGAGGCTCTGTGTGATGCATCTAGGAGCTCAATATGGTTAGAATGAGCTTGGGTTTCTGGGCCTGTTCTCCTCACCACTGGACCTGACTTCTTCCTGCAGCAATTCCAGGGTGGAGCTTGCCGTGCTTTGGCGATTCACAACCCCCTTCCTGTGATGGGAACACTTGTGAATTTTCTGCTTTCTAGTGTTTATCTAAATATATAGAGAGGACCTGTCTTCCTCGACATGCATGCTGCAGACAGATGTGGTTTGCAGAGTCTCTACTGGTTCATGTATCATCATCTCTGTTTTCTCCACTCTTTCCCTACCAAACCTCTGTTTGTTTACTTGCATGGACTTTAATAAGGTACAAATGATATACACTAAACCACGTATTTAAATCAGCCATAGTAAAGAAAGATCAAGAAGCTCATTATACAATGGTAAAGGGAGTAATTCAACAAAAAGACATAATCAAGTTAACACTTGATAAATGTTGACATAGTCGTCACCATGTGTCAGACAGTGAACAAATCAATTCTTGTCAATATTTCCTCTTAATTTTTTTTCTGAAATTTCTGCTTCTTCTTCCCTTCCCTTCTCCCACCTTTCCCGCAGGAAACTACTGATCCATTGTATGCCACTGTACATTAGTTTTCATTTTCTAGAATTTATAAAAGTGGAATCATGCACTTTGGTTTCTTTTATTAATCATAAATTGTTGTGAATGTAGCAATGTTGTAGTGTTTACCAAGCAAGCATGTCTGGTTATTAATAATGAGTGACATTCCAATGAATACTTTTACCAAAGTTTGCATGTTTAGTAAGCTATAGGCTGATATTTGAGTTTTTTCCAATATCTTGGTTATATAGATAAAGTCACTGCTCTACTGGAAGAAGTAGGCAGCAGAGAAACAGATCTTCTTCTTCTACAGTAACAAGACCAAGGACATCATCACTGCAATCACCGTCTCCATCCACAACAGCAGCAC